TTATGTAAGTTAGGATCTTCTTTTTACCTCTTTTCTTGGTGCTGTAAGGCCTTTGCTATGGTGATTCTTAACTGGAGACCCAAATGTGTGGAGACCCACACACCACAATTTTATATGGGCTTACACACTGATATGGGATAGTGAACATGGGGGACCAGATCTTTGGGACAGTTCAGGCACAGGAAATCTTCACAGCCTGATGCAATCAGGAGCAGAGGAACCATGGCTGAACTAAGAAAGCTTATTCTTGGGTGAGGGTAGCAGTTTTGGTCTTGAACCGCAGTGGTACCACCATGGCAGAACTTGGAGGCAATTGTGCAGAATCCTGCTCAACTGATTGAGCAGGGAGCTCCCAGACAAGGCCAGGCTGACCATTGGAAATAACCCATTAGCATCTCATGGCCCTTACATCTATCCAACAGTGTGTTGACACTCCGATACCAGTGTCATTGGTGTATCAAGACTGGGCTCCAGTCTGAACCTCAAAGGAGCTATTTATGGTGCCAAGCCTATTTGTGGGACAGCTGTTACACCAGGGTTACTTCCTTAAAAGTTTAGACTGAAACTCAGAATGGATGTACCACCTAACTAGTATGGACAGGAGACGCTTTTGCTCTGCTGGAGAAGGTGCAAGGACTCATCTGTCATTTCCCTCAGAATGGGGATGCTTGTTCACCCTGAAAGTGGTCTTCATTTGGGACAGTGATCTTATTTCCCCCAGTCGCTGTGTGTGGGCAAGGAATCATGGAGTGCCCAGCATTCTCCTTCTCTCTTCTCTGAGGAGGGGGTCAATCCCTCTCCTCCAGTTCCATCCGCCTGGCTGAAGAACTTACTCTGAAACGGCTGTGCTGTGGCAAGCCCGCTCAGTGCCTGAGCACCTGCTTTGAGCATGATCCATGTGAACTTCATTCCCAGGCTTCTCCATGCAGGGCTAGGAAATCTCCTACCTGAAAGCTAGTGGCAGTGTGAGCCTGCAGGGCAGAATGTACCAATGGTTTCAGCAAATGGCAGTTTTCAGCATACCAGCATCCCTGAGACATTGCCATTATGTCTAGTGTCTAAGATGGTTTACTTGCACCTTTGGTCTGGCCATCTCCACTGAAAAGGATCAGGGAGCAGGGGATGGGAAAGAACCTCTCCTGGGAGACTGGAGCCAGACTCCATTTCCCGCCCCTATATCTTCCCCCACAAAGAAAAATAAAACCACCGATGACTTAGAAAGAGCCACTTGTGGCCCCAGGAGCTGAAAGTGGTCCCCTGCCTGGTTAATAGTCCTGCTGGAGGAATGAAAATTGGCCAGTGACCTTCCTGGCTGGTTAGGCAGAGCTGTAGTTCCAGGGAGAGGTCCCTCTGGGGATGGATATTCAGTTGTTTCATACAGAACTCTCTAGCCATCATACTTCCAGAAATGTAAGGAAACGTGTGCAGGCAACAATCTCTCCTATTATATGATCTATTTCTAGACTTCCCCTTAGCCGAAGCTTTCTGGGTGGCATATAACAATCGCTCAGTGTACATATTTGTTTGCTTAAAGCATTTTATCCTGTTCCTCCGCCAAAAGGTTTCCCAGAACAGCTTCATGCAATCAGTTAAAAAAGAAAAAGGCAAGCCCCTGTTCACAGGCCCGGGTCTGCAGAGACATGATCCAAACGAGGAAAGGGGGCACAGGTGGGAAGAGGGGGAAAGCAGGAGGGGAGGTTGGGCACACGGCTCTGCGTCCCATCTCGTCTCCCTCTGCCGGCGAGGCCATGCAAGAGCATCACGAGCACATTTGCTCGCCCGTCTTCGTCTCCTGCAACACATCACTGTCTCCTTGGCCCCACTCCTCCTCCTCCTCGCAAGAAAGCTGTAGGCCGAGGCAGCTTCTCCAATCTGGGGCCTTCCCAATCTGTCGGAGAATTCCCCAACTAGCGAAGGATGGATGTGGGGGTGGCTGGCAGGTTGCGGGGGGCTGGGAGCAAGATCTACCGGGCGAGACTCTTTTTCAGATCATGGCTGTTTTTTCCCCATGTGCTCCACCCCACTGCCAGGGAAACTTTGGGACGTCGCTCAGCCTTTGCCATGGTATTTTGGGCAGGAGTGGCTTTTGCTTGTACACACGAAGAGGCAGTGTTTGGGTTTCCATTTTCTTTTTGCATTTTAAGTATTTTGCCAAGATCTTGTTACTTCATAAGCATAAATTGCAATAAACTGTATTGTGTGAATTTGGTGTTTGGGAGTCCTTTTGCTCAAAAGTTGGCACTGAAACATGTAAATATCAATAATGAAAATAATAATGTAAACTGAGCATAATAATACAAAAAGAAACAAGAACTAACCACCAGCCCAGACCTGGGATTGGCAATAATGTCCTTTGAAGATCCCATAAATACCATATCAGTGCAGAGAATGCTTCAGGATGCTTCTAGTCCTCATCCATTCCAATACAATTCTGTGGTTATCCTTCCTCAGAGGAGAAGAGGGCATGCTTTTCTGGAAAAGTGGAAGCACCACGCACAATTTGGAGAGACAGGGTGGGGACAGGCTGCCTTTCTCGGGGGCGGGAAGACGAGAAGCTGCGCTTTGGCCAACATGTTCGAGCTCTCCATCTCTTTCGCATCGAGCTCCCATCCTGAACATCTTTCCCCCTGAGTAAGTGAGCCCTGTTGATTGCGATGGAGATCACGTCGGACGAGGAAGCAGCTCCGGCGCCCTGCAGCTTTCGTTCAGATTTCCAGTTGCTGCTTCAGTTTTAATGGATACGACAACGGTGCCTTTGGGTTCCAGGCATCGCAGTGGGTACGTGCGTGGAGGGGCCGGGGCCGGGGCCGGGGCCGGGGCGGGGCGGGGGGGCGAGCGGCTGGGGGGTCATGGCCTCCCCCGACGCCACCTATGCCCTTGCTCCATCCCTGGTCCTCCCTCCCCCCACCACGCCCCCGCCCTCCATTTAGGGGGGTGGGAAAGCACACAGAGAGCAGCAGCAGCACCTCATCCCAAACCGGAAATCGACCTTGCTCTGAATCAACTAGTCTTTCCCAACCTCCTCCCCCGGCCCGCCTCCTCCCCGCCATCCCTCGCCCCCGCGCCTGCCCGGCCATCCAGTCCGCGCACCTGCTTCTCGCCCGCCCGCTCCATCACTTCTCGCTGCTTCCCACTGCGGACTTTTCGCCGGAGGAAATCTCTGGCGCTTTCTCTCCATCACGGTCTAGTTGCTCCAGAAGAGCGAAGCCCCCGCGCCCGCTCTGCTCGCTCGCTCGCTCGCTCGCTCCCTCCCTCCCTCCCGCGCTCGATCCCGAAGGATCCTCGCCGGCATTCCGGGGGGAGGGGGAAGGGGGCTCGCAATTCCTAAATTAAAAAAGAAACAAGCACGCATCCCCCTTGAGCCGCCGCCGCCCGCCCGCCCGCCCCCGCCGCCTCTGACACATCTCTTGGACCGGGGTCCGTTTTCCTTTCCTTTTTCAAAAGGGGTCCCTTCTTGCTTGCTCGCCTAGTAAGAGATGGCTTGAAAAATCAGGTAAGAGCTCGGGGAGCGAGGCTTGAGGCGGCGTGTGCGCCCCGGGCGCGGGGGAGGGGGCAGACACGCAGGGCGGCGGGGGTCTCACGCCATGCATCGCGGCTGCGAGGCAAGGGGTGTGCTCGAGCCCCGTTCCACGCGTGGGATCCAACTCCCTGGCCGGAAACTTGGCGGGGACGCGGGGAGCCGGCGGGTGCTGCGCCAGGTCTGCGGACGTGAGCCGGTTTCCCTTGACCAGAGGAAGGGGCTTTCGTTCCGAAAAAGAACTGGGGAGATGGCTTTTTCCCCGCCCCCACTCCCAGTTTGGGCAAGATCTGGCGAGATGAGAGAGGGAGACGGCACTTTCGGACTCCCAGAAGGCGCTCTCCCCGCTCCCCCCACCCGGTCTGAGCCCCCTGCCGCGCCTGTCCTGCGCCCACCCACCCCTCGCCCCAGGCAATTACAAGCAGACAAACAAACGCCTTCAAAATCTTGGCAACGCGTCTCCCCGTGTTCGGATGACTTTGCTCGGGAGGCTGGCGTGTTTCTGTGTGTGAAAGCGAGAGCGTGTCTGTCTGTCTGTCTGTCTGTCCGCCCTCCAGCCCGCCCGCCTCTGCGTGAATGTAGTTTTGAAACCCAACCATTTGATCGCAGGAGAATACAACTTCATTTCTTCTCTCCTTTTCTCCATCCCTCGCTCTGTCTTTGGACGGCCTCGCCAGTGCCTTACCCCGGAACGTCATATGGTGAAATTTCTTCAGTGTGCTGATCTGAGAGTCGGAAGAGCGAGAGGAGCAGAGAGAGAGGTCCAGTCCTTCAGTTTCTCGGGCTGATTTGGGCTTGAACATCCACCCAGGGGGAGGAAGAGGAAGCGGAGAAGGGAAGGTTCGGGTCCTGGTTGTGGCTGGGAGAAGGGAGGAAAGAAAAAGAAGAAGACAATTCCAGTGGAAATAACCAGAGAAAAGAGGGGAAACGAATCACTGTTTCTCGGCTTCCCTAGCTCTGCCTTGAAGATCCAAATCCAGATGGGTCTCGGAAGGAAACCTTGGCTTTCTTCCTTGTTTTTGGACTCCAAAGAATCCCATTCCACCCAGGGAAGTTGAACTGTGGTTGCCGCAGAGTTGTTAGAAGGGGGGATAACAAGAATAAGCATCATCACAGTAACAGTAATCAGACCGGCAGATTTACGATTCCGTTCTCAGGATCAATTCTTCCCACGTCACAACAGCAATTCTTCTGGACCAACTGGCTGTGGATTTTAGATATATATATTTATGTATATTGGTGTGTGTGTGCTTCCAGCCCAAGGAGAGAAGGGGGAAACACATTTGGCTTGGTGGCTTTAGGTGGCATGGATCAAAAGTATTCCTCTTTTTATTTATCCTAAACCTGGACCAGTATATCCAGTTCTTCCATCTGTGTCTTTTCATTGCCATGGGATTGAAGATTTCTTAGCTCGGTGGTTGTGACCGCCCCTCCAATTTTTTTCTCTCTCCTTGCCCTGCTCTCCAAAACCTACATATATGAGATGGAAAATCGAGGGCTGTTCGGTGCCCTTTGTTACCTGATGCTAAATGCCCCTTTGCTGTTCATGGTACATGGTAAGTCGCAAACTTCTACCATTCTTGAGATGTGTTGTTGCTTTTTTCCTGTAGCAAAATAAGACAGGTAGTTGACAAGTTGGAAGCAAGTGTCATCGTTTCAGTGGCTGAGAGGGTGTAGCCTGAACCTATTACAATGTGGGGGTTTTCCTTCTTCCTTGCTTTCCAAAATGTGTGTGCGTGGGTGTGTTTTACTGTGTGTGTGTGTGTGTGTGTGTGTGTGTGTGTGAGAGAGAGAGAGAGAGAGAGAGAGAGAGAGAGAGAGAGAGAGAGAGAGATCTGATTTTGGAATGCCTAACTGCTATGCGCCATTATATGGATAGAGATAAATGCACATCTATAGAATTGGCTTGAAATGTTGCACTGTTGAGATCTTCTGAGGGTTGCTTGTTTTGGAAAAGGCAAGTGAGCTCACTCTCTTCCCAGTGCAGGGATCTGAGAGGGATGCTGAAGCAGAAGGGCTCATGCAGTCTGTGCCTTGCTGGGGCTGCAGGACTGAGGAATGCCGACCCTCTGCAGCAGAGAGGGAAAACCCAAAGCAACAGGGCAGCTGGAAGCCATGGGGTGATGTGGCACCACGTCCAGCAAAGCCCCGCTGTCGAACCAAGTGTGGGACCTGGCTGTCCCTAGAGCAGGGGCATTTGTGTCTCCAGGCAGGCTTTGGTCTGAGGAGGGGAAATACCCTGCAAACTTTTCCTGCTCTCCAGGGCCACTTGTCTGATCTGGATGGGTGCCCAGACTGCAGTGATCACGGGGGCGTCTTGGACGAGGGGGCGAGGCAATCCCAAACCTCCCTTCACCCTAATTTGATTTTGCTTTTTAATGGAGGACTCTGCTAGGGGCTTGTGTGTGCAGAGGGGCTCAGCTGGATGGCCTTCAGAGTCTTTTTCCCCAGCCCCGGTGCTTCTTCGGTTCTCTGAACTGCGTGTAGCTGCCGTGTTGTGCCTGATTGTTCAGGGATGCTGAGAAACTCCTCGCAGCCCGAGATGCTTTTGTGTTGTCTTTGGATTGTAGCAAAACAGCCCAGTCATATCTTTTTAAATCTCTCCCTTTTGTTACCCATTCCTTTCCTTGTCATTTTTAAAGATTTTATTTTCCATTTTTGTCTTCAGCTACATTTACAGAAGTTCCTAAAGATGTGACTGTTAGGGAGGGAGATGATATTGAAATGCCTTGTGCTTTCCGGGCCAGCGGATCCACATCTTACTCCTTGGAAATCCAGTGGTGGTATCTCAAAGAACCAGCACGAGAACTTGCCCATGAGTTACCCATCAGCAGCCCTGCCAGCAGAAACAAGGTAATACTGCAAGGGTACATTAATTAACTCATTAATGAACAGGATGCCATGCAGACTGCCAGTCAGTTAGGACTAGGAGAGCCACGTTTGGCAAAAGGCAACTGAGCAACACGTATGGAGAGGGCTGCCTTCGCGAGGTTGCTTTTCCCTGCCCTCTCGTCCACACGTACAGGGTGTATTCAGACGAACAGGTGAGGTGCTAAGTCCACCAGGGGGAGCAGTCTTTGGCATGGAGGGGCATTTGCACAGATGTTCAGAAACACGATGGGTCTGCACTCAGTTCACCAGTACTTATTTGGTGCTCAAATGCTCTGGCGTTGGGTGATGGCATGGATGTGCCTATGATGGATCAGAGATCAGGGCCAGCATGTACATAGACTAAGCACATACTGGCCACTGGTCTTCTTGGTGGGCAGGGCTTCTCGGTTGATTCACACATTCAGCTGTGAGTGCACAAGCAACAAGGGTTCCAGGGATGGATGTGCATGGGTGAACTTTCCTCCAAGGGTAGTTTTGCAGCTTTCCTCCTCTGGGCTCACAATTCTTTGCTTCAGGGGCGTTTCGGGAAGGGAGGGGCGTTTTGACCCTGATGGGTCCACATGGAAAGGCACCACCCAAGCAAAAGCCCCATGGTGGCTTCCTGCTAGGCTGAAGCCACCCAGAACTGGAGCGAAAGGGCAGCAAGATGAGTTGGCAGTGAAACTACCGCAGGGCTCCTCTGGACCAGCCTGTTGATATGGAACATGCGGGCTGCTGGGGCTGGTTTAGTGAATGGTAAAAAATGGATCCTGGCAACAGGAGGCAGGCCATGCTATGGCCTTGGTGTGGGGAAAGGTCCTCCCTACAGGTTCACACATGCACGCACGCGCGCGCGCGCGCGCACACACACACACACACACACGGTGAAATGCAAGCGAGCTCCACTGGGGAGTATCTTTAAGGCCCTCGGTCAGTATGATCCGGGGCCCACCCTCTGTTGAGTTGCCAACTGGCCTTTTGTGGAAGGAGGGAAAGGGTAGCAGGAATACGGGTTGCGTGCACTTGTGAATGGCTCTTATGGGTGAATGTCCTCTTCATTCTCAACTTCAGGATGGATGCATGGAATGTCAGCCAGTGCACGATGCAGTGTGACCTGGCTGCAGTGCCCATGTTCTCCATACTCGCCCCTCTGTACAAATGTTGGCTTTCTCTGTTCACATGAACACCCAGAATCTCGGGTAGGAGGCCAAACCAAGTCAGAAAACCCAGCATGGATGGTGGGGTTATGGTGCATTGGACCAGTGGGACGTAGTCAGCTGGGACTGGGGAGAGATGCTCAGCATGGAACCCAGTATCACTATGCTTTGTCCTACCTTACAAGGTTGTTTGGAGGATTAAATATGAGATCTTCATAAGCTGATCAGTATCTTTGGAGGGAAGCTTGGATAAAGAGCGGTGAATGAGGCATTCTTCTGATTATATTCGCCTTACTTCATTATGGAAATTTACCAAATCAGTTTGCTTAAGGGGAAGGGGACAAATCAATGGCTGTAGAAGAGGAGCACACTGTTTGTTTCCGGATGATGCATGCTTCACTTGCTATTCATTCATTCATGAAAAATATTAGCCAGCTTTCCAAATATGATCCCCCTACCACCGCTCACAATGCCCAATAAAATATGTAGCAGTATTAAAATTAGCAACATCAGAACAAGATGGGAAGGAGAACAATAAAAGCAAACTATTTCTTCTGTCTCTGCCATCCGAGATCTGAAAACAGGGTCATGAAGAACAAATACAAAAGCAAGCTGTGCTATCAGTTACAGCGGACTGATTTTTAAAAAAATGACAGGCTGCTCTTCTTTAAAGAAAGGAGGGGTGAGTTTCACAAATATGGGACCATCACCAACAAGACACCGTCACTCATGTTCTCCAGCCTACCTTCCCTACCTGACAGTCATACAAGTAGGTGCTTCTAACTCATCTTAAGAGCAGGTTTGGATAGACACAGATGGTTCTTTCAGGGACTTGGCCTTAAACATTTAAGGTCTTGCAGCCAGTGCAGCTAATGCAGATGCTGTGAATATAGCTTGAAAGTCTTGCAGGAGGCCTCCTCTTAAGAGAGGAATTTTCCTTCTTTCACAAATGGGAGGGTCTTTTCTAAGATGGCCCTTTGCATTTTTTAGCAGTACTTTTAGTGGAATAATGTTTAAACGAAAAAATTTGCTAATTGAGGATCATTTTAGTAACAATTTTATCCAGTTGTATTAGCTGCATATTATAGCCCTCATTTGTGCTATTAATAATAATAATAATAATAATAATAATAATAATAATAATAAATCAGCATCCACTCTAGTAAGAATGGCACTTATAACAGTAATACCCTGTAATGTACTATTTTCTTTATGACTGGACCCATAAAAGATTCACCAGGAATAGCTCAGTCTTCATTCCACAGTACCTAATGGTGGGAGAAACAGAGTAACCCAAACAATTATTTCTGTATTGATGGTATTTCTGAATCAGCCATTCGCTCAATGAGTGCCCAGGGTGATTTACAATAACATGATAAGAACAATCAAATGCAACCACTCACCATTAAAACATAGAAGGCCTTCTCTTGTGCCCACACCAGCTTTACCTCCTGAGGAGGTGGGGCACAGAACAGACTCCTGTCTGATGAGGATAGGCTCCAGGTAAACCAACATATGGGATTCTTCTGAAACGCTTGTAAAGAGTGAACATTGTGTGGGAGCATTTTGCACACACTGTTGAATCCAGATTTATACCGAGTGGTCTGAGCTACCAGAAGTGGACTTTTCCCCCTTCTCTTTCCTACTGCAGTCCCTTCAGCCCCTGCAAATGCCACACAGGGCCTTGGTTCATATGATCAAAACAAGCAATGACGTATGTTAATGCCCAGTGAATGCCAAAAAACTGTTTTCCTAACTACCCACCCAGCACAGCCTCTGGTGTTGTCTGAACCTATGTGGTAGGTATAAGGGAGACGAATGTCCCACAGCCCCTTACAGAAGCCATGCTGGCTTCTTGGCTTGTGCAACCTGGCCCAGATGTTCAGGAGGCCATGCTGAATGAGCAGTTGTTGTGGGTTGGGAGGAGTGGAATCCTTCCCAAAATCAGGTGAAGGAACTTGTATGAGGGAAGGCCCCTTCCTCTAATGGAAGGTGGGTCCTGGATCCTGAACTCACCGTGTGTGTGCCACCTAAAAAGGTCATGTGTAGATCCAATGCCCATCCATAAACAGGTCCATCGTGTGGGCATATTTGTGGGGCAGCCAAGGTTGGTTGCGTGGCTTTCTTTCCAATATCCCCAAGTTTGCCCCCATGGCATGTATGAAATAGCCCTCATCCTCTTGCAACCTCAACAAGCAAGGGCTGTTAATCCCGCAATAACGCATCGCCTTCAGGCCAGCATTCTGTTCTCTTTCTGACGGGCAAATAAACAAATCTGGGGATGGACTGACAGAGTGAACTTGACTGTGCCAATGATTCATGGTGGCAGTTAGCTTTTCCCTTTCCTTTCTTTTTCTTTTCTTTTTTCTTTACTTTTCCTTTCTTTCCTTCCAAGTCTTCTCTTGTGGGATGGGACGTGTGCATCTGCCCAGCCTCTGGAGACACCGTAGGAAAACTGCAGTGGAATGATTTATCTGTGCTCTGGCATGTGATAATTAAAATGTAGGAATGGGAGAGCAGGTTAAGTCTTCAGGGTCGTCTTTCTAAGCCTTTTCTAAACCAGACAAAGCCTTGGGGCTGGAAAACCAGGCTCGATCTAAAATGTTCATTCTCTGATTCTCTGCAGCCTGTGGATTAGCAAATGAAGCTGCAGAGTGAAAACGAGTAAATGGCCATTGGATGGGGAAAGGATCTGCATACAGGAGGGGAACACCAGTGAAGGGGGGTGGAGACACCAATTGCAGCCCACATATGCTGGCTTCCCTGTTAAAAGGCAGGCCATCCAGTGTAAAGATGATGGGCAGGTTTTACATCAAGTAGTGCTGCTTTATTTGACCTGTAGGCCACAGAGGTGGTTTAGAGGCATCCACTCTGGTTTAGTCTGAACTTGAAAGAGTGGTTTGTGGTGCTGAATCCTAGCCTTTGCCTGGCTTCAGCACCATGGACAGCTCAGCTGCCATTTCAGCCAAGCCCCAGTGATGTTGGAGCCACCCATCACAGCTGCCTGTAGGAATGAATGCCTTCTTTTCACTGAGGATCCGTGGAAGGGGTGCCCTGAGGAACATGACTGGGGCAAGGGCTAATCCTGCTCTCCAGAGCAGGGCAACTGGAGGAAGGATAAGCTAAGCCTGCTCTCCATGGTGTCTCAGACCGTTGCAATCTCTTTCTGTTCTCCAAGAAACATATTGGAAGCCATGGAGAAGCTGGCCTTCTTCTGTCTGCAGTGTCCCACCCTGCATTCTCCTTCCTGGCCCTAGCAGAGTGAAATGGATTGCTGGAAATGGGCTTCTGTATAGTGGAACCTGCACTCTGGAGGGCTGCTGTTCAAGAGTCCAGAGACTCCATTCCATTCTGTGGTTTTCCTTCCTGGTTTTCCATTCATCTGCCCTCACCTGTTGCTTAGGCATTCCTCACTGGGCCTTTTGGAAGGTGGGGATCTACCCCTTCAGAGTTCCTTTCCCTTCCCTTTCCTCTTCCCCCTCTCCCTCTCCTCCTCCTTCCTGAAAGCCCTTCCTGCTTCCAGAAAGCTTGTGGTCCATCCAGGCTCATTGAAAGTTCCTTCTTGTGCATTGGTGGTGCCATTTTGGGTTAGGGTTTGGGTGCCATGTTGGTTCAGGGACTGTAAAAGAGAATTCCCAAATTTTATTTGTTCCTATATCACATTTGGATCCCAGGTTTTTTCCTCTTGCCAGGAATTCAAGGTGGCATGCATGGTCAGCTTTGGTCTGAGCTCCATTCTCTCCTTAGAACAGCCCTGTGAGATAAGTTAGGCTGAGATACTGTGACTGGCTCTGAGTCTCCCAGTAAGCTTCATGCAGACTCCCAATTTTCTGAGTCCCAGTCAAACACTCATGACTCTACCACACTAGCTTAGAACCTTTTCTCAAGTGTGAGGTATCATGTGAAAGGTGCTTTGTTGTCATCTCTAAGATCCCTAGATCCAAGTTGTGTTCAAAAGATTTGCAAAGCATGTGCTGGGCTGGGCCACTCAGAGGTTGAAGTCCAAGAGAAAAATAGCTTGGGTTGAATTGTCATCTTCAACACAGAAAGTCAAATTTGACATTGCACAGATGTTGAGTGAGTGGATATCCCTGTGTAATTTCTTTCTCCTAAATGTAGCTACAGGAATGAGACTATTTGGATTGCAATACAGATGGGCCCACCACTCCTAATGTTCTCTTAACCATGGCAATGGAAAGCATACAAATGCAACTGAGGGGTGTCTTCATGCCCTAGCAATGAAGGGCCTGTAGATCTGGGCCATGGTACCAAGGGAATTCAACTCCCCTTCTCCCATACCATGATCTTGATCCCAATATCTCCCACCCCAAGGCTGCTTTTAGGAGAAGGCATTTACAGGAGAAGATCCCAACCCAGCTCTATTGAAATGCCTGTGACAGAGGCTCCTGACATTATGGAGCAAGTTCAGAAACACCTGGAGCTCCATCCAATTAATGGGTGTGTTTGTATGCGAGGGAAGGAGGGAGGGAAGGAGGGAGGATGAGAGAAATGTTGTCCCCACCCTTCAAAAGTAACTTTAATTTTCCCCCTCTTTTCCTTCTCAGGTAACAAATAAGGATGCCACCAAGATCAGTGTAAGTAAACGTTGAAATGCGTTCTGTCTTTTTCTGGGCTTTGGGTTGAGGATAGGGCTCTAAATTTGCATACTAGCACATCTGTTGCATGTAGAACATGGGTGCTGGAATTCTTCCAGGCCAAGAGTCAAATCCCATGTCAGAGAAACTCTCAGTGTTGGGCAGAGCCTGAAATGCCAGAATATTGTAAGCTTAAAACTCTTTGTGCCAGAAACTGAGGCCTGAGGGTGGGATTTCAAGTTTTCTGGATTTGGGGAAAACTGTGCAAAAGCTCGGAGGCTTCCAAATGAATGGAGGTTGAGGGAACACCATGGAAAGGCTTGTGGCCATCTGGCAAACCTTGGGGGCCCAGACTGGGATCCTAGGAGAGCCAGAACCGGCTGGAGGTTCTGCATCCAAGATGTAGAAGGTCCAAGGCCCAATCTGTGTCACTTGCAGTTAAAGGATCTCAGGTAGTGAATTTGGAAGGATCTTATTCTACCATGAATGCTTGGAAAGTAGCTGCCCATCAGGCCACAGAATGCTGGGCTAGATGAGACATTAACTGGGTTAAGACAGTACCATAACCAACACTCAAGGTCTGAGTATCAGATGAGTGCATTTTATTGCTGAAACATGGGTTGTCAGGCCCCAACCAAGATAACAAACTATGAACAACCCACAGTTCATAATACATTAACAAACTATGGGTATTGGTTACCCATGGATAACAAGCCATGGCTTGTTATCTTGGTTGTATTCAGACAACATGATAAGCTATGTTTCAACAGCAACCCACAATTTACATCTGACTAATTGCTCTTGAGCATGCATTTCGTGAGCGGAGCCGGCTGGTGCCAGAGGTCAGACTAGATGGCCCGGGAGACCCCTTCTGACTCGCTCTGTTTCTATGTTTCTATTTTTGAATTGTCTAAAATCAGTTACTGAGTTGTCTCAATATTATAGTCTTTGCCACTTTAAGCAACTTGAGTGAAGCTGGGAGACCCTTTTTTCAGTTGGGGTCTGCAAGATGGTGAGCAGATCCAAATCCAACCATGTGCACTTGTGCAGACACTCTTCTCTCTCCCTCTCTCTCTCACTGTGTTCAGTGGGTTGCCAAAAAAGAAGTGATCCCTCTTGATGGAGGTGCAATCTGATTGCTTACAGAGCATCCTTGAAATCAGGCCAAAAGGCACATGGAATTGGGCAATGGCTACATGAAGCCCTGGGGCCAACAGGTGTCCAACCTTATTCTAGAACAACCTTTGGACCAGTTCATGTATACTTTCAGAAGAATGGTGGAGTGAAGCTTTTCCTAGGCTACACCACTTCAGGACACAGATGGAGAGTCTCAGGTTGCAATTAAAAATGCTCCTTCGTTAAGGGAAAAATGCCTCCTTCTTGGGAGGTGGGAGACTTTGTGGACCACACAAGAGAGAAAGGTTAACTTAGCTTTTCTGTTTTCCTATGGTGCATTTTGAATGGCAAAGCCTACCACCATGCCACCCCCTACCTACAGCTTAAAGCGGCACTGTCTAGGAGAAGCTGTATCCCTATCTTTAGATGTACAGTTTATCAGTGATTCTGAAGCTCCAGGGAATCCATACCGTCAAATTAAAGATCTCAGCATTCTTGGTGGGCAGCTGTCCTGACAGCTAAATCAGTGTAAAATCTATATTAAGTTTGTTGTGTACAATATATTCATACAGCACAGAAAAAGGAACACTCCCTCCCTGAAGCAATATATTCTCTGTTCTTCCTGCTTTGTGTGTGTGTGTGTGTTTGTGCACATGCATGTGCCAGGAATGTCAGAGGAATCTTCAACACCTTCCAGTGAATTTGGCCTTCTATGAATCCAACCTATGGATTCCTCAGTGGGTTGGCTTATTCCCGTTTGCATGGATTCCACAGACTTGCAGGCTATTTTTTAAACTATGGGGGAAGGGGTAGAGATTTGCTGAAATGCACAATTGCACACTTGCAGCTATGCTCGTTAAACTAAGTGTGCATTTACACAAAGGTGCATTTGGAGCAAGAGCAAAACTCCTTTGCATCCCTAAAATAAATCGGATTTGGTCAATGAGTGGAAGGTGGATGATGGGCCAAAGGATGCCTGACAATCCATGAAACACAGACAGAATAGATTTAACAAAATCCATACATCCCTAGTGTGTGCTTTGTCTTTTGTTTGATTGTATCTTAGATCATCCTTTACCCTCCTCCATCAAGTTTCCTTAAATTAGATCACAAAGGAACAGTTGCTGTTGATGTGAAGCAACCTACATGTTATTGGTTTCTCCATTAGCCATTTGCCAGGAAGCTTATGTGAAACATTTGATCTTGCTAAAGATTTCCAGAAAGCAAAAGTGTGTTTGAAAAAAAGAGAGAGGTAGCCCCTTAAATATCAATTATCTTACAATCCTATCAATTGCTCTTATTTCTGCGAAAGAAAAGGAACGCGAAGACAAAGCCTCAGACAGCATTCAAGACCCCACATGGCTCTGTGTGTGTGCACGTGTGTTCATGTTTAAGAACATGGGCATGTCTGAGATTAAGGTGACAGATCTGATCAGTGGGGTGATTATCTGGAGCTGCGTTTCAGAAGCAGGCACCATAGGCTGCATTTCAGAAAGGAAACAGAAAGGGCAAAACATCTCTTTCTCGGTGTTGCATCTATTTTTGGAACGGGTTTGAATTGCTCATGGCCACAAGGTGGTTGTGGGGAAGACCTTTAGGAGACCTGATGGATCTCTTCCCCATCTTTCTTGCTGTACCCAGGAGGTGTGATGCAGGGGGGTTATTTGCAGAGGGTGGAAGAGAAACGCTGTGGGCATTGTTGTTGTTTTGGTCTGGGAATGATGGTGGAAGTCTTCATTTATTGGGGAAAGCAGAGATGAAAAAGGAGCTCCTGGATGCTGCTGGATGCATAGATTTCTGCAAAGGGATGAGGGCAGGATTAGAGAGGCCCAGTTCATTGGGGTGTTTTGGACAGACACTATATTTTAAATGCATTATTGCTGAAAGGAGCAATGGTCAGGATTAGTGGCAGGCTGTTGACTGCAGCAGAAAGATGCATTTAATTAAGGGAAGGGGGAAATGGAATTAGTGTCCAGCATTTGATTTCAGATGAGTAACCCAGTGCTTAGAAGTATTTGCAAGGGCCAGGGGAAAGAGAAAGGCAGAAATAGCCAAATGGCATTGGAATATTTAACTTTGGAGAGGAAGACAGATTGAATTCCAAAGACAGAGGGAAAGAGCACCACCATAAGGAATTTATATATTTAGTATGTCTAATTATTTATTTCTATGCTGCCCAATAGCATACAAATTGCATGCATTTTAGCACAGAAATCGTTGAGATTTACAACAATTCTTAAAAACAATAAAATAGCATAAAATTGTTTCAAACTACAAATATTTTAAAGCCAAAAAAGGCTAAAACAGTGTACAAGGAGGAGTAGGCATCACAGGGCAATATTGCAGAGTGACTTGGTTTCTCAGGGACTAGGGACTAACAGCAACATACAAATGAGCATTGCTTTGTGGATTGCAAGTGGACTCCAATGAGAACAAGCTGTTGCTGCTCCCACCCTGATTTTGGTCCCTTGCAGCCTCATCCCACCAAATGAATTGGCCCTTCCAACAGCTTGGTGTTGCTGAGCTGCAGGAAGGCTCTCCTGATGCTGCACAGGCCTCTTCCTTCCTTTCTGCCAGCCAGATCCACAGGTCCTCACCGGGCGAAGCAGGGACTTGATTTCTACAGTGAGAGGAACAAGGCTTGAAACTCCTCCAGGAGCCTCAAGGGTTGTCCCTTGGAAGTCCAGGTCCTGTAAAGCAAAGAGGCTCTGGCTTGTCCTTTGATCACTGCCTGCCTCTTCCCTAAACATCCCATTGGGCATATGCTTTTGCTCTCCGTTCCAGGGAATTTCAGCTCCAGGGAATTGGTGGGAGGTCTTTTCCTTTTGAGGGCAAACACCATTGAAGCTGCATTTCCAGGTTTAAGCTGTTCATCTGGTCTAAAACTGAAGAGCAGATATTTATTCTGGAGTGGAGATGGGAGGCTTCAGTTCAGGGATATTGTCTAACAGGGGTGGCAAACATCTGAAGAGATTCATTTTTTGAGTGAATCATATAATACACATCTATACAACCAACCTGGCTTGTTTGTGCAAAAGACCAGTTCATGATGTAGCATGATGAATTAGCAGTTTCTGGAACAGCAGTGGCTGTTCTCCAGATGTTTCCAGTGGATCTCCAGATGTTTCAGACTCCCTAGCCGGCATAGTCCAGAGTCAGGAAAACTGGAAATTCAAGTCCAAAACATCTGTAAATTTCCTTTCTGGTCTAAAATGGTCTGCTACCCTCTTCAATCGTACCTGTCGGATGTTTGTGCCATAGTGTCAGTTGCACCAATCATGCAATTGCAAAGATTGAACCGGAATTTCAGTTTTGCACAGAAGACTTGACCACTCTGCAGAACAGAGGGGATGGAAAGAATAGCCCCAAGGATGCTTTTATCATGAATGCATTGTGCTACTTCTCGGTAGAATTGATTGTGTGAGGCAGCTACTTGCCCTGTTACTTTACCCTTGCGGCCAAAATAATGTGAGATCAGTAAGTTTTAACCTTTGGTTCACTTGTTGAGCCTGCTTAATCATATCGCTCCATAAAATCTACCATGCACTGGATTGCAGGCAGTAATTTGTAAATCAGAGGGAGCGTTGGAAAGCATGCCAGGTAACTGTGCCATCACCACTATCTCGGAAGCAGCAGAGACGACACAGATTACCACAAATACAGACTCATTGTGGGAACGTGTCCAGAAACACAGCTTATGGCTGTGATGGCCTCTTCCTACCGATGTCAGCAATAGATGGTTCTGCAGGCTTATTTCTATAGTTAGTTTGGGAGAGGCATAAGAAAGAACTGGAGATTCAGTCACTGCTCATCAAATGGACTAGTTGGGCCCATTGGAAGTGGTAGCACACCTTCTTTGCATAGTGAAGAAGCTACCCCCCTGCAATAAATAAATAAATGGGCAGATGATGTGAAAGACATCTGCCTAAAATGCTGTAAAACTCTCAGTCTGGATGGTTGGCTAGACCAGAACTTCTGTTCACTGAAGAGCCAAATTCCACCTCAGAGAAGTTCTTGGGAGCTGCATTCCAGTAGTGGCCAAGGGCCAAAGGTGCAAGCCAGAAAAAGTCCCATATCTGTTTACCTACTGCCGGTAATTAAGCCTTAGGAAAGGCAGTTCATCATTTTGGAATGGGGGAGGAAATGCATGCAGGCTGGGAAACCACCAAACTATGCGTGGTTGGGGAAGTGGGGAGGGCCCAGGGAAGGAGACAAGGTTATCTAGAGAAATAAAAATATAAGTTAAATGCATCTTACCATAGTGGGGAATACTGCGACCTTGACATTCAAAATTTGCTCATTTGCATTGTGTTTTTCCTCTGACTGCATTAACAATTTAACATCAAGCAGCTTAGCTGCCAATAACCCTGAAACAAATCATTCCCTTTTGGATAGGAAGGAAGCAAGTAATCCATCCTAGCATTTCAAGTGAACTGGGGGGCAGCTTAGACTGATGATCTGCATTTAGGGGTGTCACTTCAGAGGCTGCTGCCTTCACACATGAGCATTTCTGGAAAACACCTCCATTTCTGAGTTCTCTGCGAGATCCAGGTTCTACACACCACGCTGTTATTGCAACAACCTGCACGAGTAGCAAAGCAGCAGGAGCAGAGTCTGGGCGCTGCCTTGCATGTTGCAATGCTCTTGCAATTACCTGGAAGCAAACCCCACCGAAGGCAGTGGAACTGACTTACTTGGGAGTAAATATGCAGAGGATTGTGTTGCCCAATACGGCCGGCAGTTATTGAGAGGTAGAGACAAACGGAGAGTGCAGATTGCGAGTCTGACAAATGCAGTTTCGATTGTAGTGCAGTCTAAGCCACGCCAGCGCTGAGCTGAACGGGCAGTGGTCTGAAGAACATGAAGACAAATGCTGATAGCTTGGTGGACGCATTAGTGTAACAGCCACGTGCATGAGGCAGGCGCGTTTGCCGTGCGAAGCGCTGAGCTGTCTATAGGGTAAGAGTGCCCATAAGGGAATACAGCTAGTGGTTTATTGGATAGCAAGAAGCCAGGGGCCTGAATCAGCAATTCAGCGGTCTGGGGTACAGCGTGTGTGTGTATTGTCTGCAGAGAGGGAGTGACCTGTGATTAGGCAGGGGACTTTCAGTCACAGGCTTGTGCAAGCACAGAGGCTCACAGTCCAGATTCAAAGTCTGAAATCGCTACAGAGAAGGCTTTGCTGCTAGGAATTACCACCAAGCCTTTCAGCAGACCAGGAATGTTGAAACAGCTCGTGTGTTGTCGTTTTATTTATTTTATTTTTTGGTGAAGAAGGGGCTAGGAAATCCAGACACCTGTGGGAATTCCCATGATGTGCACATGCAGCGCCACTGCCCAAAGCCCCACATGCGTGCATGTTTGTCGCATGTCACCCTGTAGACGGCCCTGCTGGGATGTTACTTCTAATGCGCAAAGCAGCTTGTGCATGTGTGTCCATGTTGTGCATGGCCACCCAGACAGTGCAAGAAGAACCGTGTGCATCAGACCGAGATTCCATCTAACCCAGCATTCTGTTCACATGGTGTTCAATCAACTGCCCATGGGAAACCCACAAGCAGCACAGCCCCCCCCCCCCCCCCGTGTTCCCCAGCAACTGGGGTACATAAGCATACCATCGCTATTGTATGGACAGCCAGTGTGGTGTAGTGGGTAGAGTGATGGACTGGAGAGCTGGGAGGTGCAAACCTAACCTACCTCACAGGGCTGTTGTTTTCAGCATAAACCAGAGAGGAGATCATTTCCAGTTGGTTTGGGTTCCTTGCTTGGGGGAGAAAGGCAGAGTGTGCATCGGTAACAGCGATAAAAATATCTCTGAAACTCAGTGTGGCATATAACCACAGTCTCATGGGCACTGAGAGCCTTCTCCTCCAGGAATGCATCAGGTCTCCTTTTAAAGCCATCCAAACTGGTGGCCCCAGTAACCTCTTGGGGCAGTAAATTCCGTAATTTAGCTGTGGGCTGCCTGATCTTGGAAGCTAAGCAAGGACAGGCCTGCTGAGTGTTGCATTAAGGAGGGGGTTGGGCCCAATGGCCTTCTAGCCCCTTCCAACTACGTGACATTACAATCCCGAGAAGGCTTTCCTTTCCTCTCTTCTGACTTCATGGAATGACTGGGGTTCTAGTGTTTTGTGCAGAAGAGAGAAATGTCACTGACGTATGACTGGCAATTGGAATTTCTCTTCTGGGGACACTTTGCTCGAATGTCGTACAGTTTTTGGCATACCTCACTGTCAGGTGCTGAATAAATATTGAACGGCAGGTAGGATGTAGCACTAATTGGGATGGAGCGCACCTGGCTCAGAGCCAGAAATGTTGAGAGATGGGGATCCCATAAGGCAAGGAATCCAAGCTGCTCTATACATTGAGTAGACATCCCATCCACAACTACCTAAGAGTAAGTCCCATTGAACTGAATGAGCCTGAGGATTGCAGGGTTAACTGAATATGTTCTGAGCAATCATTTAGGTAAAACAGAGCTAATCAAATAGCACAGATTAACTTTTTCAATTAAATCCAGACAGAGAGGGCACTTGGAGTGTCAAGGTGGAAGGAGAGGCACCTTCAATGCCCCCCCATACTTACAGATTTGGGAGTGTTTCTACTTTTTCAAATGGATTAATTATGGGATGGGCTAAGGATGAACTGTATGACCCCAGCATGTTTGGAAATGTGTTATGTGGGCACATTAAGTGAAATGGGCGGGGGGGGGGAGGAATCGGTCAAATCCTTGCAGTTGTGTATATTTAGGAGTCCTGGGGTCTAAATGGAGTGTGTGGCAGGGGGACGGGGGGGGGATTGGGGGGGCTGCCCGCCTCCACTGGGAAAGAGTGCAGGTTTTCCAGGCTTCCCGAGGCCCCGCATCAGCGGGCTGTGACGCATGTCTACTCGGGCGTAAAGCCCGCCAAGTGCTGCGCCCAGGAGAGAGGGCCCGGGGCCGGCAGCGCCCCTTGGGGACCGGGACGCCCGCGCGGCTCTCCCCGAGCCGCCCGGCCGGACCGCCCGCCCGCCCGCCCGCCTGCCCTCCCGGGGCGCGCCGCGATTGCCACTGCGGGCGGCTCAGGCGCTCTTTCTCTCCTTCCCTCCCTCCGCAGACGGTCCGCGTCCAGGGCAACGACATCTCGCACCGGCTGCGGCTGTCGGGCGTGCGGCGCCAGGACGAGGGCGTCTACGAGTGCCGCGTGTCGGACTACAGCGACGAGGACACGCAGGAGCACAAGGCCCAGGCGCTGCTGCGCGTCCTGGCGCGCTTCTCGCCGGCCGACGTGCAGGCGGCCGAGGCGGTCTCGCACATCCAGAGCAGCGGCCCGCGCAGGAGCGGCCCGCCCGGACGAGCCACGGCCGAGCCCGGCCTGGGAGGCAAGCGCCTCCTGCCGGCGCAGGGCGAGGCCGCCGCCGCCTCCTCCTCCGCCTCCGCCTCCTCCTCCTCCTCCTCCTCGGCAGCCTCCGTCCCCGCCGCCTCGCCGGCCTCGTCCTCCTCCTCGCCGGCCTCGTCCTCCAGCACCACGACGGCGGCGGCCGCGGCGGCCGCGGCGTCGTCTGCCTCGCCGCCGCCCGGCAGAGCCGCCATCCTGCGCCAGCAGCACGGATCAGGTAGGTGGAGGCGCAGCGCCACCGACGGGGCGCGGCGGGAAGCGCAGGGAGCTGGCCGTGGTGCTGCGGTCGGGCCTGGCTGGCAGCTCGTTTGGACCGCCGTCTCGGGGCTTTGCTGGGCAGCCGACCTCTGGAGGCTGGGCGTGCTGCTCCCTGGTGGCCCGGGATCCTCTGCAGCTCGCTCAGGATGGGGGGCAGCGCGCACGTGCGTGCCGGAGTGGCCCTTTGGCTTAGCAGGCGACCCTGGGCATGACCGAGCCCTGCGACCCTGGGCACCACAGGGACAGGATGGGAGTGGTGGGCATCGTTCCCTGCAAGATGCACAGGATTCCATCTTGCCTTTGTTCGTTCTCACCTCCGCCCTTCATTTGGCCCTGCTTAGCAAAATGGCTTTGGGGTGGTTCACCGAACTCTCATCACGACCCCTCCCAACAGGGAAGAAAACTGCATACTTGCTAAGTGTGCTTGTTCTCTCTACAACTGCCACTTTTGGCTTGTGTTAAATTTGTATTCAGCCTCTTATAGCTGGAAAATACTGTAACAAGAGATGGAAAATAGCAGTTTGGCATTTTCTCCTTATGCAGCCCTTTTCAGTTGCCTCAATTTTCTCTTCTGCAAAAGCAACAAACCAATAGGGCTTTTCTCCACGGCTTAATGTTGTCTGGAGATTTCCCAATCTATTTCAGAGCGTTTCTCCTTCATTTATGTACTTGCATTGTGAGTCATGGAGTTCAAAAGCCCTCATTTTGTCCTAGAAACTGCACTTCTTCAAGCTAAAGAAGAGCGACTGAGCTCATGAGCCATTCAGTTTTCACCTCACTCAGTGCCCTCCAATACCTGTCATAGGCATGATAATATATACCTATCTCACAAGGCTGCTCTAAATTATGAGAGAGGTGATTTATGTGAAGTGTTTTCAGAACTCCAAAGCACAATACGGTACCATGTTGTAACACTCTCCTGCAGTCTCCTGCAAAGCAGAATGTTTTCTTGCAGCGGCTGTCGTGGCATTTCTACAGGGTTGCTCTGAAGGAATTTGGTGGCTAGGGTCGCCATCTCACTGCGGACATTAGCCATGGGAAAACATTACCCATGCAAATGTCTTTGGCAAATGTCTTTTGGTTTGGTTTGGTTTGGTTTGGTTTTTTTTCCATTGAAGTCCACCCAACCTCATGAGCAAAGGATTACCCCTCACAAAAGATAGGACACCCCTTCTTTCTTTATGCCAACCCATTTTCTACCTTTCCCTCATCCTCCCTGCGGTTCCACCCCAAGCTGCTGGGGCAAATAGGTCTTTGCTTCAGTCTCATGCTGAAGTCTTTGGAGGGCTGCATGAAAGTAGACCAAGGGACACACATTCACCCTCTTCCGACTTACAGGGACCCTTTTGCCTCAGACTGACAGTCTTGCAGTGGTGCCAAAGTTTGCTGGGAAATTCACAACACAGGGAAAGGGGATGTTTGTAGAGGAGAGAGTGAGCCATCATTGTAAACAGCAGTTGTACAACACAACTAAAAGTAGGAATGATGTCGCTGATCTATGAGCTTTGAAGATCAGCCCAGAGCACTGTAAATATCAAATATCGCTTGTCTATTGATCATCTGCTTGAAAGCAGAGTGTGAGCTTTGAGCTCTGAATATGAAACCTAATAAGCCTTGGATGAATTATTCCTTTCTTAATTTCAGCCTCATCTGTAGAATTGGAATGATTACATCAACTTTTCCTGGAGTTTAGGGTTGGTTAGATAATGTAAATGAAGCTATATGCTTTGTCCTTCTTGCTGTTTCAGGTCCAGCATAAGAAGAGAGAATATTGCTAGTACTGAGACATTTCAATATATAGCCTAAGGCCATGTGGTGTAGTGGTTAAAGAGTTGGCCTGGGACTTGGGAGTTCTGGGCACTAATCCTCAATCCACTAAGAAGCTCACAGGATGAGCTTTGGGCCAGTCACTGATTCTCAGCCTAAGCTACCTCACAGGGTTGTTTTACTGATAACATGAAGAGAGGGAAGAGGATTAGGAAAGATATCAATTTAAAAATAAATAAAATGCAACTAAATGAAAACCCGCCTCCTGAGGGATACCATCTGTTCCCCTACCTGCCAGTCAGGATGCAGGCGTGTGCAAATGGAAAGCCAGTGTGACGTGGTGGTTCAAGAGTTAGACTGGGACTCAGAAAATCCAGGTTCTAGTCCCCAGTTGGCTATGAAGTCCACCGGGAGACTTTGGGCCAGTTGTGGGCTCTCATAAGGTTGTTGTGAAGACAAAATAGAGAGGAAGATTGTGTGAGCTTCAGGGAGGAAAATAGGTGCAATATAAATTCAATAAATAAATAAATACAGGAATTTCAGCAATACTCAGAGTTCACGCCTGGCCTACTTGTAGTCCCCAGGAAATGCTCAATGGAACAGGATCTGGTACACAGTGCTTAGCGGGTCACAGCCATATATTTTATATGCCATTACAGCATCATTAATTCATATCTTGGTCACCTTTTTTTCCATAAATGGAGAGCAAGAACCTGCATCTGACTGCATGAAGGCTCTTGTGTGCTGTTGTTTCTAACAGCTGAGCAGAGGAAGGCATGAGGTCACAGAGGATGCAAAACTGCCCAAGCCTTCATGGGAAAACATCATTGCTGTATCTTTGGGTGATGCAGCAGCCTTCAGGGTTCAGCTTTTCTGAGGTTGTGTTTGCTGCTGTAGCCTAGAAGGATGGAACTTCAAACATGGTCTGCACTCCATCAGACCAATGCTCTATCTAGCCCAGCCTTCCATTGATGCACTGGCCAACCAGCTGTTTGCGACCCCACAAGCAAGGCGTGAGGCAGTCTCATTCCCAGGCTCCCCAGCAACTGGTCAACACAGGCCTTCTGATCCAGAGAGAAGACAGAAAGAAGATTCAAGGTGCTCTTGATAGGTTGGATTGCTAGACTGAAAACAACAGAATGAAATTCAATAGGGACAATGCCAAGTGCTGCACCTAGGAAAAAGAAACCAAATGCATTGTTACAGGAAGGGGGATGTTTGGCCCAACAATACTGCAAGTGAGAAGGATCTTGGAATTGTTGTGGCTCACAAGCTGAATATGAGTCAACAGTGTGATGCGGTTGCAAAAAGGCAAATGCTATTTTAGGCTGCATGAGTAGAAATATCACTTCCAAATCCCATGTAGGACTAGTTCCTCTTTACTCACCTCTGGTTAGGCCTCATCTGGAGTCATGTGTCCAGTTCTGGGCATCACAGATTAAGAAAAATGCAGGCAAGGTTGAAAGGGTTCAGAGGAGGGCAACAAGGATGATCCAAGGACTAGAAACAATGCCCTATGAGGAAAGATTGAAAGAACAGGGCTTGTTTTAGTCTTGAGAAGAGGAGACCAAGGGGAGATATGATAGCACTCTTCAAGTACTGAATAGCTTATCACAAAGAGGAAGGCCAGAATCTCTTCTTGATCATCTCAGAGTGCAGGACACAGAATAACAGACTCAAGTTACAGGAGGCCAGTTTCTGGCTGGACATCACGAAGAAATTCCTGGATGTTACAGCAGTATGACAGTGGGACCATTGGCCTAGGGAGGTTGTGGGCTCTCCGCACTGGAGGCATTCAAGGTGCAACTGGGCAGCCATCAACGAGGGATGATTTAACTTGGGGTCCTGCACTGGGCAGCAGGGTGGAACCCGTGGCCCTCTGACCCCTTCCCTCTGTACTCTTCTGTAATTCCATGATTCTATGATATTGGAGGTATCATGTGGCCACATATATAGAATATATATATTCTAATAATAATAATAATAATAATAATAATAATAATAATGAAGACTAGACTTCTTCTCCATGGATTTTTCTGATTGTCTTTTAAAGGCAATTTGTGGCGTGCACTGCATCTTTTTGAACAAGTGTGTACAACTCAAGGAGACTTCTGTGTCTCATCACCTCAGGAAGAAAGGAAATTGCTCATGCAGTGAGGGAGACTGGCAGGAGAGGGTGGCACTGTGGGCTACCCCAAAGCCTTTCACTGGCGACTGTTGGGATAGGTCATGTTTGGTCTGCAAAGAGCTCTTGGAATCAAGCCATCTGCAAGTGCCCGTGCTGCCATTTCTGCCCCCAAACTTCCTCCCACTGCCATATGCACTGGAGAAATGGGCGTGAGTGTGAAGGCGTGAGTGTGTGCAGGCACACATGCCCTCAGACCCACCTCTGCCTGTGGCCCTTGGGGACAAAATGGTCACCTGCCTCTGGACTATTCCCTTGGTCTGACCCACAGAACTGCTCCTGCAACAGTTAGCAACCGTTTGCACTTCTGTGGAATAATGGGAGAGTGTGGGGCTACGATATGCACCCAGTCCTATGCTCCCTGCCCTGATCCTGCTAAGTTCATTTGGACAGCGTCACTTTCCAGGCATCGGACATGGAGATTCATGCTTCATCACCCTTGAAAAACATCTAATCTAGAAGTATTCAGCCTTGATGAAAATCCGAGCTTTGTGCTAAGCATTGGAGGGCAGGCAGTGGTTGAAAAGAGAAAGGCAGAATCTATTTTCCTCTCCCACACCAAGCTGTTACGCCCATTCCCTCAGAGATAAATCCATGTCAAAACCTAAGCTATTGGGCAGGGTTTAAATAAGTACTTTAGGAAGTCCTACAGCATCACTTTCTTATTCTTAGATACGTTTACTGGAACACTTTATATTTCTTAATGGCAACTAGAAAGCACAACCTAACATAAGTCGTCAATGGGCTAATAATAATAATAATAATACTAATACTAATAATAATAATAATATCATCTTGCCTAGCTGATTTGTTTAGCTTTCTGTGGATTGCCTATGGGCTACACAATGCATAAGCTCTAATGAAACAACCAAATCAAATTGCAATAGGCACTGTGCCATGTTGACAGATGGGCATAAACATTTGCAGCTAAAAGAGCATGCCAGATATATCTTTTAGGGCACGATCCCCTGCCCAGATAATCTAGTCTTATCTAATCTATCTATTGC